GGGCAAAACTCAGGATGAAGCAGATTATTAAAAGTTATTAACCTTTCCATTTTTTATTTACATTTACACCTTAATTATTTCTTAAAAATACATGACATCCGCATTCGCATCCGCATCCGCGGATGTTAGCTTTTAAACATCCGCACCCGCATTCGCATCCGCGGATGTCTAAATTTCCACATTCGCAACATCCCTAATTCATACATATGTACATTAGGGAGCCCATCGTAAACGCTTTATTTTTTTAATTTCAAGACCCTACCCCCTAATTCGATTTGTTTTCTTGAGAAATATAATTTCCTATTTCTCTACACTTTTTAAAGGTCATTCAACGGTCGCGACCTGCGATTTAGGTCAGAAAATACGATATTGTAGATTTAAGACAGAGATGACAGGTTGATATATAGGCCTTTAAATTGGTATATGTATAATAATCTATTGTCGGACTTGGCTTGTTGGGATTTTTTATAGGGTAAATTTAAAAAAAAAACCACATTTCTCTTAATTTTTTTAATTTTGACCATCGATAATTTCCACAATTTGAAAATATAAAATACAAATACGATCCAAAATTAAATCTATTTTTTAATAAACTGATAGCTCATTTATTGCAATCGCATACAAAATGAGCTAGGGTGGTCTAAAAGTGCATGTGAAAAGTAAGGTGGGAATTTTTATGCTCTCACCCCCTAGGAATGTTCTATACCGAAAAAATATACCCCCATTTTTTATTTTGAAATCAAAAAATATTTAGAGGACGCTCAAAGCGCCCAAAGTTAACTATATTTTATAGGTCCGACCGAAGCCCCAGGAAATGTCAGAAAATGCAACGTGCGGATAAATAAAATGTCTTTAGTATTAAAAACTAGTTAAATAAAAAAATTGGATATCGTTGATATACTGATTCTCAAGAATTCTATACCATTCCTAAGAAAAGTTGTTTTTCCCATTTAAAATACATGGAAAGCTTTGAGAGCTTTGAACGACCTCTAAATATTTTTTGATTTAAGAATAAAAACTAAAGGTCTATTTTTTCAATATAGCACAATCCTGGGGTTGCGAGCATTAAAATTCCGACTTTACTTCTTCACTTCTAATGCCGGTTTGAATTAACAATAAATTTAATTAAAAATGTCACCGTTTTTTTTTTTATTAAACTTTTTTGCAAAATTTTGGTTTTTAATGAAGTGGACATCGACGTTAACGGAACCAGCAACGGTAGAAATAATGGTGCGGAAAAAGGTAAGAACAACGGGACGGTCAACGAGCCGACAACGAGATTGTGGACCCGTCGATCCTACAACGGAGAATGCGTGACGTCAGCTAGCTGACCCAAAACACATTTTTGCGAATATTTCGGAAACCGAGTGTGCACCGAAATTAATTTTGGTGGCCCTAAGTTGCACCTAATTCCTGACTGTTGTTGTAGCGGCTACAGCAACCCCGCCCAGATGGGTTAGTTCCTCAATCGTTGTAGTCAAGCTCTACTGACGGCAGCCCTAGCAAGCGTGCAGCCCGAGGGCATACGAAGAGATACTGTGAGTCATGTTGCGACTCTCCGCATTCGGGGCATTCGTTAAGAATATCGTCTGCTTAGGTATGAGTTCAACCTGCTGCAGTAAGCAGAGCGCAATTGGGCTTTTGTGGTCCGAGTCTCTCGAGGCAGACGAAGTTCTGTCTCGTCCACGTCTGCTGTTTGTGCCCAGAACGGCATTCACAGGTCGGGAGTCTACATAACTCGAGACTGCCTCTCTGTGAATGCCGTTCAAGACTTGTCGATAAGCTGTTGGGTCCAGAGGTTGTTTGATGAACCTCTGGACTTCGTCCGTCAGTTCGTAGAGATGCCTCCTGACGTGCCTGGGCGAAGGCTCTTCTGCAAGGAGTTGCCTGTTTGGATGCCCACTTCTGTGACTCCCAACCAGGAACTGCCTGCAGAGCATTGTGTTATGCTCCTTAACAGGGAGCATGTGGGCCTCCTCGCGCAGGTGGTGTTGCGGCGACATCCAAGAGGCATCCTGTCGCTGTCCAAGTGCCGTGTTCTGGCAAGTCTGCAGCTTCATCCTCTACGTCCTACTAGTCCCCGGTGACCACACGGGCGCAACGTAGTTCAGAAACGGCCGGCCAATTGCCTGACACGTTGCCAGCAACGTTTATTTATATTTTCCCCAGGTGCTGCCGGCTAGCGACTTGAGGACCTTGTTGCAGCTTTGTACTTTGTTGTTGTTGTTGTGGTTGTGGTTGTAGCGGCTACAACAACCCCGCCCAGGACGGTTGGTATCTCAGTCGTTGTCAAGTTCCACTAACGGCAGCCCTAGGAAGCGTGCAGCTTCTGTTGGGTTGGTCCACAGGGACAAAGCCTTTAGGGTTGTCGGGTTTTCCGGGCATGCGAAGAGATGTTTCGAGTCATGTGGGGTCTCTCCGCATGCCGGACACTCATTTGGCACATCCTCATTCAATCTACTCATGTAGGAGTTTAAGCTGCTGCAATAGCCAGAGCGAAGTTGGCCTATTGTCGTTCGTGTCTCCCGAGGCAGATGAAACTCCGTCTCGTCTATGTCCGGGGGCGGTATGCCTAGAACGGCATTCACAGGTCTAGAGTCTACATAACTCGAGACTGACTCCCTGTGAATGCCGTTCAGGGCCAGTCGGTAAGCTGACGGGTCCAGAGGTTGCCTGATGAACCTCTGGACTTCGTCCGTCAGTTCATATAGATGCCTCCTGACGTGCCTAGGCGAGGGCTCCTCTGCAAGCAGCTGTCTGTTTGGGTGGCCACTTCTGTGGCTCCCGATCAGGAACTGCTTGCACAGCATTATGTTGTGCTCCTTTACGGGGAGCGTTTGCGCTTCTCCGTGGAGATGATGTTCGGGCGACATCAAGAGGCATCCTGTCGCTGTCCTGAGTGCGGTGTTCTGTAGAGTCTGTAGCTTCGTCCACTGCGTCCTACTAGTCCCCGGCGACCACACTGGCGATGCGTAGTTTAAAACCGGTTGGCCTATTGCCTTGTATGTTATCAGCAACGTTTCTTTGTCTTTGCCCCAAGTACTGCCGGCTAGCGAGGACCTTGTTGCGGCTCTGTACTTTATTGACAATAGCGGTTGCGTGCGCAGTGAAGGACAGCAGGCGGTCGAATGTTACTCCGAGTATTTTGGGGTTATTCACCGTCGGAATTGGTGTGTCATCGACCTGAATTCCCAGCGGTAGCCTGACCTCCTTCGTCCAGGTTGTGAACAGGGTCGCAGAGGATTTCGTAGGAGAGAGGGCTAGACACTTTGCAGTGAAGAAGCGAGAAAGTTCGGAGAGATACCCGTTTACTTGCGAACACAGGTCATCAATTCCATTCCCAGTCGCCATGATCGAGCAATCGTCGGCGTAAAAGACAATCGAGACTCCCTCTGGTTGAGGGAGCTTTGAAATGTAAAAAAATAAACAGTAGCGGGGAAAGGACACCACCCTGTGGAACCCCCTGTTTTATTTTTCTGAGTTTACTCGTTTTGTCTCTAAACATTACCGACGAGTGTCGACGACTCAGATAATTTGCCGACCACCGTTTGAGCCTCTGTGGGAGAGAGGGGGCCTCTATATCTTCTAGTAGCGTGGAATGGCAGACGGTGTCAAACGCCTTTGTCAAGTCCAACGCTACTAGAATCGTTCTCTCACAGGGACGGTTTCGGTTAAGGCCACGAGTTATCTGAGTTTTTATGGCGTTAAGTGCTGTTGTTGTACTGTGCACTTTACAGAAACCATGATGATGCTTCGCTGGGGTCAAGTGGTTTGTGAAATACGGGAGTAGCAAGGCCCCGAGTGTGTTCGCTACCGGGGAAAGAAGTGTTATAGGACGATAAGAATCTCCTATGACGGCAGGTTTCCCCGGTTTGAGCAGTGGGACCTCCGTTAGGTACGCTACCCCCGCAGGACCCAAATCTTTCAGCATCAGCATGCATATTCCGTCGGGACCCATGGCTTTGGAGGCTTTCGCCTTCCCGATGGCCACCTGAACTTCACCGCAAGTGATAGCAAGGGGGGCACAGGTTGTTGGCAGTTTGTGCAGCCTTCTGGTCACTCGACGCTTGGCTTTGTCCACCGGAGGATGCAGTATGAACTGCCGCCTAATATAGCTCGCGCATCCCTCCGGGTCCGACGAAGCATGGTCGCCGAAGGAAATTTCGACTCTGTCGTCGTGCTTCGTCGGATTGGACAGCGACCTCACGGTTGACCAAAGCTTGCTCACACCAGAGGTGAAGTTACAGGTCTTCAGATGCTCCTCCCACTTCTTCCGCTTATGTACGTTTACTACTTGCCGAATCTCCGCGTTGAGATCCCTGATATGGGGATCTCCGGGATCGGCGTGGGTCCGTTATACATCCTGCCGGTATGAAGCGAGCTGCAGCAGCAGTGACAGCCCTGCGGAACTTACGTTCACCGAGATGGACGTCGGTTGGTGTGGGAAGCGCTGTGAAGGTGTTTTCAGTAAAGTCCGCGTAACCTTTCCAATCAGCTTTAGAAAAGTTGATATAGGTCCGGTGTTTGGCGGAGGCAAAGTCGGTTGGTTTATCTATCGAGATGACTATGGGAGGTGGTCTGATGCTAAAGTCAGCATAGGTCGCCATGTTATGCTGTTTATCAGACCAGCGCTGACTATGGTGATGTCTGGCGAGCTACTCAGTTACCCATAATCCTGGTGGGTGCGTCGTTCATTGTGCAGAATGTCGAATCGTCTATCTGCTCAGCCAAGTCGGTTCCCCTACGATCGTTTGACAGGCTTGAGTGCCAAAGATCGTGGTGCGCATTAAAGTCACCTACTACCATACGGTTTTCACCTCTGAGGAGTGCACCTATATCAGGGTGATATCCTGCCGGGCAGCAGGTGACAGGGGGGTATGTATATGTTAAATATTTTGAGCTCGACATCGCCTGACCGGATAGCGATGCCCTGACATTCTAGGGTGGTATCCCTGCGGTCGATGTCTGCTTCGATAAGACGATACTGCACGGTGTGGAGCGTGATGAACGCCAAGCCACCACAATTATCTCGCTCGCGATCTCGACGGTGCACGTTGTACCCGGCACAATTCAACAAAGTTGAATTGCTGTGCAACTTCGTCTCTTGGACCGCAGCTATCAATATACCATGCCGACACATGAAGACGGTTATCTCCTCAATCTTGCTCTGTAGCCCGTTGCAGTTAAATTGAAGGAGCTTCATGTTGTTCGGGAGACGTGTCGTAATGTGGGGTGTAAGGGATGTGTGTATTCTTACCGCCGTTGGCTGTGTGCGCTGCTGTGATGGTTGCCGCCCTGTGGTGGTGGCGGGAGGCGTCGCAGTTGAGGTCTGCGACCGAGCAGCGCAACACGGGCCCTCGAAGTTCCCAGTCCAATCTCGCGTGGTACGCAGACCTGAGCATGCCCTAAAGTGGCACGAGCCAAGGCAGGTGTTGCACTTGACTGATGTCGCATTACGGAATATCCTGGTCTGACATACCGTGCAGATTGTAGGAGGAACCAGGAGTGGTTGGCGGCGGCGTGTGGGTAGTGGTCCGGTTGTGTGTGTTATGTGGTCTGTGGTGGCTGTGGTATGGTCTGTGGTATTATTATGTTGTGCTGTGGTGACTGTGTGAGGCTGCTCGGGTGGACTGAGGTTAGCCGTGGAGGCTGCTCCGTTTGAGCAACAGGGGGCCACGTACGACCTGGTCCACTGTCGATGTGTCCGTTGTCCTTAGCAGACTCTAAGGTGAATCCACCCCTCGCCGGCATTACACTTGACTGAGGTGGAGTTGTGGTGTTGTCGTCTCTGGCATACACAGCAGGTGTATATTTCTGGCCCTGGGTTTGACTCGATGCCAGCCCTGAGTAGAAGAATACGTAGTGAATGTAGCCCTATGGACGAACAACTTCTGAGATACTTCGCCGACCTAAACGGGGTTAGATCGCCGAAACAACAGCCCTTGGTCGGGTAAAACTCGAGTCATTCCGGTACGTAGAACCGGCTGTCGTGGGAATGTTTTTTGTACTTTGTTGACAATTGTGGTTGTATGCGCCGAAAAGGTGAGCAGACTATCGAACGTTACTCCGAGTATATTCGGGGTGTTCACCGTCGGAATTGGTGTATTATCGACAAGAACTCCCAGTTCGAGTCTGACCTCCTTCGTCCAGGTGGTAAAAAGTGTGGCTGAGGATTTTTTAGGGGAGAGGGTTAGGCTCCGTGCAGTGAAGAAGCGAGGAAGCTCGGCGAGATAACCGTTTACTTTCGAGCATAAGTCATCATTTCCATCCCGGACGCCATGATCGAGCAATCGTCAGCATAAGAGACAATAGACTCCTCTGGTGGTTGAGGGAGCGTTGAAATGTAAAAGTTAAACAGTAATGGGGAAAGAACACTACCTTATGGAACCCCCTGTTTTATTTTCCTCGGTTTGCTCGATTTGTCTCTAAAAGTTATTGACGAGTGACGACCACTCAGATAATCGCCGACAACCGTTTAAGTCCCTGTGGGAGAGAGGAGGCCTCTATGTCTTCTAGTAGCGTTGAATGGCTGACAGTGTTGAACGCCTTACACAGGTCCAGCGCTACTAGAATGGTTCTCTCGCAGGGGCGTTTTCGGTTTAGGCAACTAGTTATCTGGGTATTTTTGGCGTTAAGTGCTGAGCACTTTACGGAATCCATGCCGATGCTTCGTTGGGGTAAGGTGATTTGTAAAATACGGAAGTAGCATGGCCTCTAGTGTCTTCGCTACCGGGCGGAAGGAGGGTTATCGCTCCTTTGTTGGCAGATTTCCCCGGTTTGAGTAATGGGATCACTCTCCCCATCTTCCAGATGTCTGGAATGACGAGAGTGGCCATAGACAAATTGTGGACCTCCGTTAGGCACGCTTCTCCCGTAGGACCCAAATTTTTCACCATCAGCATGCATATTCATTCGGGTCCAATGGCTTTGGAGGCTTTCGCCTTCCCGATGGCTACCCTTACCTGACCGCTGGTAAAAGCAAGAGACGCACTAGATTTTGACAGTTTGTGCAGCCTTCTGGTCACTCGACGTTTGGCTTATACACCGGAGGATGCAAGATGAACTTCCAGCTAAAATCGCGCATCGGTCCGGGTCCGACGAAACGTGTTCACCAAAGTCTATTTCAACTCTGTCGTCACGCTTCGTTGGGTTGCACAATGTCCTCACGGTGACCAAAGCTTACTCACACCAGAGGTGAAGTTGTAGGTCTTCAGATGCTCTTCCCATTTCTTGTGCTTATGTACGTTCACAAGTTGCCGAATCTCCGAGTTGAGATCCCTTATACGGGGATTTCCGGGATCGGCCTGACGAAGTTGTCACGCTCATCAGCTAGGACAGCCACTTCGGCTGGAAAATTCGGACGAGGGCCGAGATGCATCCCGATGGGATGAAGCGGGCTGCAGCAGCAGTGACAACCCTGTGGAATTGACGTTCCTGAATAATATTTACCAGTGTTCGACGAAATTTAGTGGGTGGGTCAGCTAGCGTGACTTCTCCTTCCTGAGCTCTTCCTTGATTGTACTAGGTCTTATCGCTATGAAGAGCTCAGGCCCCATAGGGGACAAGGCGGCTGCCGTTCTAGCTAGTCAGTCCGCTTCATCGTTGTCAACAACTCCTACGTGACCTGGTACTCAAGTTAATTGGATGTCGTTGTACTCCGCCTGGTTGTTGGGCTAATCAATACACTCATGAACCAAAGAGGATTTGACTTCAAATGATGTGAGGGTTCTGAGCGCTGCCTGACTGTCGGACCACGTAAATAATTTCTATAATTTTTTTAAAGAGGTGTGGTATCTATACTAATTTGGTTTAGATCCGATCATTGGATCATGAAGAAAGTAACGGTACTATAAACTTTTATAAGAGAAGGGTACGGTTTGGTTGTGGTTGTTGTTGTTGTTGTACCGGCAACATCAATCCCTCCCAGATCAGTTAGTATCTCAGTCGTTGTCGTCAAGTTCAACTAATAGGGAATTTACATGATTCAACTTTCACAGGCGATTAGTTGAACCAAAAGTTTAACGAAAGTAGGGAGCCGACCAACTTCATTGTAAGCGATTAGTTGAAAGGCTGTTTACACCAGGCGATTGTTGCTTTCAACTAAACATCGCCTCATGTAAATTCCCTATTACGGAAGACCCAAGAAGCGTGAAGCCTCTAAAGGGTCTGACCACAGCGACAGAGGCGTCAGTTGCGTCGAGTTTCCCGGGCATACAAAGAGATGTTTCGTGTCGCGTAGCATCTCCACCAAATAGTCTGTACGAAATGTTTATTTTCTAGATTAATTAATAAATAAATAGATAAATGAGGAATGCTACATTAATGGTCTTCGTACGGAACTGAGGCAACCCACGTGGAAAAGAAAGATTTAATATTATTCGGTTTTAAAAAACTTTTTTAACTTACCTTCGCTTTTCTTTAGGTTTACCAGTGGCTGTCAGTGTTGCTTTAGACTTGACACCTGCTATTTCACCAGGTTTATTGATGCTTGAATTGACTGCAACCATTTTCTCGAGCAATTTTTAACTTTGTTAAATAAATTTTAATTTCACTTTCTCTGTTCTGTTAGATGTATGTACATATATCATTTGAGAAACTTAACCGATTGGGAAGCCGCTATTATTATCGCCTCTTATTCCGTCTCAAATTATTGATGTAAATCCTTTGGATACAATACACATACTCATGCATAAAAAAAAA